GTCGCTCTCTGTAAGCGAGTAACGCTCGTGCCTACTTCCATGGAGTCAGATGTATAAGGGAATTTTGAAAAGTTCACTGAAAATGGGATTAGATATGAGTTTATTTTGGTGCAAAAAAATTGAAATCCAGGCATAGTTTTTCACAATACGCATCTTCCATGGACTCGTTGAAGACCCTCTCACAGCTGACTTTCATAACTTCCAACAGCAACGTGACTTACTTATTCAGTGAACTGCTGACGACGAATCACTACATGGACACGTCTTAGATGTTTTGATGGAAATTTAGAAAATCTTTGTTTCAGTTGCAGAGCTTTGTTTTAACTATAGACCAGAGAGTCCATACGACTCCAGCCTGAAAGGTCTGGCCCAGGGACATTTACATGAGCGAGAGCCCGTGGCCAGCAACCTTGCCCTGCATGTAAGACACCTGTTGTCCCTGAGGCAGATCGGGATGGGTTCAGGACAGGTAGGGGCAGGGGAAGTGAAGAGGGTTTATTGGCTACAATATTAAGCCAAAATGGAAGCAAAAGTGGTTGTTGTTTAGATGCAACTCTGTTAAAAACATCTTGGTCTTATCCAGGCATTGAAACGCCTGACCTTAGACATAGACCCGGTCTGTAAGGGGTGCAGGCCTAGGGAAGGGACCTTCAGGTTTAAACATGCAGAAGACGAGACAAGCAGATGGGGTAATGGTTACGTTGCTGGACTCCTATGTAGTTGCCTGCAGCTCAAGTTCCAGACCTGGCAGCTTAGAATTCATGCCGGGCACGTGTGCGTGTGTGCCCACGATGCTGGAAGGAGAAGGGATTGCGGCGTGGCCATCCTCCTTGGAGGGTGATTTCTCACTCTATGTCTCTGTCTTTCGGTGAGTGCATAGCAACTATCAAAAAGAAAACAAACAAACAAACAAAAAACCCAAGGAGAAGAGTGACTAAGTGAGGGAAGGTGGGTCAGTGATGCGGTCAGGCTGAAATGAAGCTGCGGTCAGTCTGGGGTGACATGGATGCTCACCTGCAGTCTACAGGGCCTCTCGCTAGCTGCCATGGTGCCGCCCCTCTCGGAGTGAGAAAGGCACCAGCAAAGTCCTATCCTGCAGAGGCACAGCCGCAGCTCTCTAACGCTGGAGCCTAGCGACCGCTTTCCACCTGGAAGGGAGCTAAGCGCTACTGCTGGTCTAGCGCTGCAGCTGTGTCAGGGCCGCCAGTTCAGCGCAAGAGGAGTCCGCACACCGCCCTGCCAACTGCGTAACTTCAGTTTGCATCGTATTGCAACATTCAGCTGCCTTTCCTATAACTCTGACTTATTTACATTTTAGATTTTTGCTACAGGGTGCCTGTACTCGCTGGAGAGAGACAGAGAGAGGGGAGGCGAGACATCACCCCCCAGAGGGGATGGCCACACCGCAATTCCTTCTCCTCCATTCTCCTCCTGGGATTTTGGACACGCATGGCCATGTGTCCAATGTGATTTTCACGCCACTGGCGTGGGAACCCACGAGGGGGTCTAGAACATGAGCCACTATGCCATGTGCTGGCTTTCCTAGAATTCTTGAGTCTCCCAGGAATGCAGACCACCCAGACCATCTTAACGGAGAGGCTCTTGGTCACGGAGCCAGAGGAGCCCGCTTACTGGCGGTGTCGAGGCCGCCGCATGTCCCTGAACAAGCCCTTTACTGCTGGGCTTACATTCTCACCTTTAAAATTACAATAGTTATTTAATTAATTAATTAATTATTATTCTTCGATTTGACCAGAGAGAGAGAGGGAGAATGAGAAAGCAAGCCAGCAGTCTGGATTCGAGCCACCATCAGCCGTGTGGGAGTCCAGCGCGCTAACCACCACACCACCTGTGCCCCGCCCCTACCTTTAATGTACAAGGGAGAGGAGCTGGTTTGCAGCACTCTGGGCTCGCGAAGCTTTGGAACAGAGTTCAAGGTAGAATCTGTGCTTTCGTTCCAAGGAGAGCCGTGCAGCCATTGCTAAAGAGATAGCCCACTCCACCGCCCCCGCTCCTCCACGGAAGGAGGTAGGAAGGACTGCCAGTGATTGCGTTAACACTGAGCAGACGTTCCGAACGCTGAGTGGGCTTCCACCCTGAAGAATTACAGTCTACTGGGAACCAGCAGTTAGTGTAATGGCTATGTCGCTGGACTCCCACGTAGTCGACCGCGGTTCATGTCCCGGACCCGGTGGCTTAAAACTCACGCCGGGCGCGTGTGCGTGCGTGCCCAAGATCCCGAGAGGAGAATGGAGGAGAAGGGATTGCGGCGTGACCATCTCCCCTGGGGGGGGGATTTCTCGCTTTCTGTCTCTATGTCTCTCTCTGTCTGTCGGGCAAGCGCACGCGCCCTACAGTGAAAATCTCTAAAAAAAAAAAAAAAAAAAGAGTTACAGTCTCCTGCCCCAGCCTGTGGTTGGTCATTAAGGCACCTGGACCTCACATTGTTGACTGTGCAGTTCAGGTCCCGGACCCAGAGTTTGAAAAAACTGAGCTTAGCACGTACCTCAAGTCCTGAGAGGAGACTGGAGAAGGGACTGTGGTGGCCATCGCCCCAGGGGTGATCTCTCTTTCTCTCTCTGGCACCCTGCAGCAAAAGAAAAAGAAGAGAATTACGGTCTCGCTGTGTCAGATGCAGATTAGGCGCTTACCCACGGGGGGGAGGGGGGGGGGACTCCCTGCCCCCTCCTGCCTGTACTCCCTCTTTGTCTCCAAGCCCGGATGCTCTCTCCGCCCAGCCCTCCAGCATGGGTCCTGCTGGTACACTGCCAGCCCCTCGCCCTGGTCCGGAGCCCCGCCAGCACGGCCCTCATTCTAACTGCAGGGAGGCCGCGGGGTGGGCCACTGTGTAGTCCGTGACCACAGGTCCAGGTGCCCAGCGTCCCCTCCCCTTTGCATCCCCACTGGCAGAGGGCAGACTGTCACTTGGGCATACGTCCTGCTGAGGGTCTCCCTGGCAATTTCGGGAGAACCACGGCTGAGCGCCGCAAGCAGAATGCTGGAACGTGGATGCCACCACACCGGAGACAGGCTTGCCAAGGCGGCTGTCACCGTCCCATCCAGTTTCCAGCCGAGGGTGTCTTCCAGGGGGTCAAGTCGCACCTACAGGGAGAGTTCCAGAGCACCCCAGAGCTCCATACCACTCGTTGTAGAAGTCCCCCACACACCAGCCTCGGGCATGAAGAAGCCCGACTGCCTGGTGTGAGTGTATGGCTGATGGCTGGCAAGGCACTTCCACGCACCTCGGGCCGCGGTGGCCTGGGGTCGTCTTCTGACCCTCCTGCCCAGGTCTGGGCGGTGGCCGTCTGCCCGCTTCCTGCTGGCGCTTTTATCTAAAATTCCTTCGCGGACAGCCTTCAGGTAGGGTGGCAGTGCTCTCACCGGGTGTACTGGCCTGCAAGACCACGCCTTTCTGTGACGATGAAGTTGCTCCCCATGGGCAGAAGAGCTGGCTTAGGTTTTTTTTTTTTTGGTTATCTTTATGACTGGCAAATATATTAGACACATTGAGTTTCCAAGAAGCCGGCTGGGTATGACATTATCTTTCTTCTCTTTGAAGTTATTCTCAACTTTTTTTTTTTTTAAAGAATTCTTTATATTTAACTTTATTTCTTTTTGTTTGACCAGAGAGAGCCAGAGAGGGAGGGGGAACATGAGAAAGCAAGCCTGCAGGTCCAGGACTCTACCCCAGGGCAGCCTTGCAGGAGTCCAGCGCCTTGACCACCACGCCACCTGCCGTCCAGGAAGAATGTTTGTGGGGGAAACTGGGCGGGTAAGCCAAGGCAGGGCGCCTGGCCTCACTTCCCACGGGACGACCTGGTGTGCTCCACGACGTGGTCTCCAAACACCCCAACCAGGGAACGGTTACAAGAGGCCAAGCGAGTGGGCGCGCACAGACCCCTATTGCGTGGGGCCCGCTCCATGTCATGGCCCCCCGCTCCGCCCGGCCCTGGCGGTCCAGCTGCGGCGCGCGTGGGCGAAGGGGATCCGCCGTGGGGCGCGCCCAGGCGGGCCGCGCGGGGGACCGGCTTCTACTGCCCGGAGGGGACGCGGCCCGCGGGGAGGGCCCGCGCCGCCGGGCGCCGCGGGGGGGCC